CCCCAGTCCTGTTCTTGTTTTTCTTTGGTTAAATGAAATCTAAAGTTATTAGTGAAGAAAACCCGTCTGGATAACAGCAGACTGACTGCTGGTAAAATATACGACAGGTCTGGACCACTCCTGAATTTTGTTCGTATCTGAAAAAAATCTTAGAATATGAAAACATTGGTGAATGTCACAAATTCTCCTAAATCACTCGTACGCACAACTTAAGAACAAATCTGTGCGTACSAACYGTTCTTGCACGAGGCCCAATCTGTATTCTAGAAAGCTTTTATTGTGAAGGAGCAGCAGGAAGTGTTGTGTCTGTGAGTAAACCGTGAGGCTGATATGAGTCAAATAAATGTTGCTGCTGCTTCAGTGGAGCTCCACATGATTCCACATCATGAAGCTGCTGAATCTGGGATCAGGGGGGCTTCCTCTAGAGCGGGGGTCTCCAACCTTTCTGAGACTGAGAGCTACTTCGGGGGTACCGAGTAACATGAAGAACATGAATATGTTTGATACAAACATTGTAGTATTATTTATAATGCATTTATACATGTGAATATTTGACTCCCTGATTACATCTTAATGTTAAGGAGTGTTTTTTAAATAGGTGAATTACTTTGTGAACAGTAGAGAGCCCTCTGCTGGCCTCTGCAGCAGCTCATCATGTTTCTGTCTGTCTCCATCAGGTGTGTCACCACCACCACTACTACCACTACTCCCACCACCACCACTACTCCACCCCCCACTCTCCACTCCATCTGCACAGTGACAGGACCCTCTGTCATCGACTTCTCCAGCCACTTGGACTTTGTAGAGGATCTGTGTGCGTACTATTTGCTGCAAATCGATGGTCTCTCAGTGATGGGAAGCTTCCTTGACCGTCGTAGAGATGTGAGCTTCRTGGACAGCGTGTGGCTGACAGTGAACACAGTTAACATGAACCTGGAACAAGGTGGCAGAGTTGTGGTGAGTCAGAGTGGAGTTTGATCCAGAATCTTTGAAGAAGCAGCTCTCTGAATGCTGCTGGACTCAGTGCTTGTTGCTGTTTGTGTGTTTGACATGTTTCACTCTAGCCTGGTAAAAACCAGCCCCTTGTTCTTTGCTTTGCTTACTACAGAGTATCTGCAACCCAAGGCTATTGAGAAACTTTTTTGCTGGAGGCGCGGACTCTGTTAACATTAAAAACCATTGGATCTGATTTACCCAATCGCTAATGTTTGGCTGTGGTGTATGTAATGCCCCAGCTTGATCGTGAAGGAAGCTAAGCTGAGAAGCTAATCAGAAATTGCGTGTGCTGTAAACAATGATCCCCTACTAGAATACATAAGTACTGAGCTGAACAAGAAGCTGTAAATGAGTGCTGCAGGCTTTGTGAGACAAATTTAATTAGGGCTTTCTGGTTTTGCTGTAGGCCAAACAGTTTTCTCTCAAACTGTCAGAACCAAGGAAGTACCACTTCCCTCCCTATATTTCTCTATGTAAATCATATTTCACGCTGTTGAAGCAAAAGAACAACTATTTATACATTGTCATATCTCTTAGAAAAAGCTCTGTACAAATTTTAAAAATTACACGAGTAAAAACCAATTTCTTCTGTCGTTCATGGTTCAAGAATTATTTCAATAGACCTTATAGTTTTCACACAGCGGCTGGTTGTCCGAACTAAACTTTTCAGAGATTTTCAAGTGTCTTGCTGCAGTTTTGTTCTGCCCAAGGGTGGGCAGCACTAATCTAAAAATTAGTTGCACTAACCCTAAAGCACTAACTCAAATATTTAGGTCTCCTAATTCTAAAGCACTAACTCAAATATTTAGGTCCCCTAATTTGAAAGCACTAACTCAAATATTTAGGTCTCCTAATTCTAAAGCACTAATGCACAGAAAAAGTTAGCAAAAGCTAATTCTAAAGCACTAATATAACCCAGTTGACCCATGGTACATTCTTCAATGTCAACATGAAACAAATTTTTACTTTGTGCAGAATATTGTCAATAATCAATTTCAACATTTCATGTCGTGAATGAGTGACACACACAGGAACAAAATGAGTGACAGCTTTCACCCTCAGCTGTTAACAATAATGTTGATCAATAACATTTAAATACCTCAGCTTCTTAATGCTTTTAAATTTAGCCCTCAAATTTAYTAAGCACCAATCCACTAATGAATTTAAAAAATAGCAAATGCCCTAAAGCACTAATCAAAATTGTAGTTCCCCTATTAGTGCTTTAGGGGAACTGTGCCAGCCACTGGTTCTGCCCCTCTCTGTAAATGCACTACAATCTGGTCTTCTGATTGAATGAGACTGTTACTGGGCAGAGTAGTCTCTTGAGTAACAGAACAAAGAAGGGACTTTATGCAACCCAACATGGCACCCAGATTGCTCAGCAGTTTATAGACATACAAAGCTGCCACCTTATCGTGGTGGAGAGSTTTGAGTYTCCCAATGATCCTAGGAGCTAGGTTGTCAGGGACTTCATGCCCCCYTAAGGTRACCCAAGGTAAACAGGTCCAAGGTGAYGGATCAGACAAAGTGCAGCCTAAATACCCCTTATGGTGAGTGCCAACWTTGGACTGAGTGTTCCCTCGCCTAGATGCAGGTKACTGGGGCCCCACTCTGGAGCCAGGCCTGGAGGTYGGSCATGCWGGKAAGCGCCTGGTGGCRGGGCTTTCACCCATGGAGGCCGACCGGGCACAGCCCAAAAGACAAGACGTGGGTTCCCCTTCCCATTGGTTCACCACCTGTGGAAGGGGCKGAAGGGGTCYYKTTAGTATGTAATGYGCAGTGGTTGAAGGCGAGGACCTTGGTGGGGAAGGAGCCTGAGCTGGTGTGTGGTTACAWCTAGATAGTCTGACTAACTTRYACGCACCGCTCTGACTCTGGAACCAATCTCCTCAAAAGGGGTTGGACACACTTCCACTCTGAAGTTGCCCCTGCTGAGAGGCGCCAAGCAGTAGTGGGCATACTTATTGCCCCCCATTTCGGTGCCTGTACGTTGGGGTTCACCCTAGTGAACGAGAGGGTAGCCTCCCTCCGCCCACGGGTGGGGGGAACAGGACCTGGCTCTTGTTTGTGCCTATGCGCTTAACAGCAGTTCAGATTACCCACCCTTTTTGGAGACTCCCTTGTTCTGCTGGGGGACTTCACCACTCACATGGGCAATGASAGTAAGACCTGGAGGGCCATGGTTGGGAAGAACGCCCCCCCAATCTGAACTTGAGCTGTGTTTTGTTATTGGACATCTGTGCTTGTCATGGATTGTCRATAACGAACACCATGTTCAAGCATAAGGGTGTCCATATGTGCTCTTGCACCAGGACACCCTAGGCCGCAGCTTGATGATTGACTTTGTTGTCATTTCATCTGACAACCGGTCATACCCTGTATGACCGGTGCCAGAGCTTGGTCCGCATTGCCAGTAATAAGTCGGGCTCATTCCAATGAGAGTTGAACTCCACCAAGGTTGCTCTTTGTCACAGATTCCGTTCATAACTTTTATGGACAGAATTCCTAGGTGTTGCTCTATGTTATTACKCTAATCTATGGTCACGAGCTTTGGGTAGTGACCCGAAASAATGAGATCATGGATACAAGCAGCCAAKCTCCGTTTCCTCCGCAGGGTGTCTGGGCTCTCCTTTAGAGGTAGGGTGAGAAGCTCGGTCATRCAGGAGGGACTCAGAGTAGAGCCGCTGCTCCTCCACATCAAGAGGAGCCAGTTGAGGTGGTTCATCTGGTTAGGATGCCTCCTGGACGCCTCCTTGATGTGCCATGTCCCACTGGGAGGAGACCCGGAGGAAGACCCAGGCTATGTTTCTCAGCTTGTAG